TCTCGCATAGCTGCATTCAGCATATGGGATGATCCGAATAACATCACTAAGATAGGAAATTTCAGCGGATAGCCCATCGCTGTTGATATTCTTGGTACTTTCTTCAAAAAAAAAAACCAAATCCTGTCCAAATACACCGTCTCGGTTTTTTCTTAAGAATTTTTCCAAAAATTTCTCCGCTGGGGATAAAAACAAAAATGCATTGCGCTTTCAGAGCTCAAAAAATGAACAATGACGTCGATCCTGATCATTAATTTCTAACATCCTTTGACCGGTTAAGACTTCTGGGAAATTAATTCTATGCACATTTTGAACTCTCGACGGATAAGGCAAAAATTACTTTAAAAATTTTGATAAGCGAATTATTTAGTGAAAAAATTTGAAAATTTAACTTATAAAAAAGAATTCCTTTATTAAAGCCGCAATCCGGTGTGGATGACCCATATCAATAGTGTTGCTGAAAGCTTCCGCATGCCGGCCGAAGCTATGCAAACTCCTTCGATCTTGGGCTGCAAGTTTCTATTTATTACCCACGGACTGTTCGGTGTACATGCGCTAACATGCGGAAAATTAAAACCAGTAAAACCTGGAGTAAAAGAAATTTTGTCGCCGCAACATCTAGTAAAAAGCCATTAGAATAACATTTCCGGTAGAAAACCTTTACGAACAATGTACGTGTCTAAAAGTTTTTCGGTTTTCTGACTCAGTTCGCATTCGCTGATCTCACATTTTCCTTTCAGCATCACATATATTTTTTACTTGTTTTCTGCGGTATTCGTTATGAATGTTATTGCTGCTACATTAATCCCGGTGATTTTTATAGCAAATGAAATGGTAGGTCCATTTTTTTTATCAAAAATCTAGCAAGATTTTCTGAAAATTACATATTCCAATGGGTCAGATGAGTTGGCATTCTGTCCTTAGCTGTAAACGTGGAGGCAGCTTCCGATGCAAGCAGGAGTGGGAATCGTTAGTACAGCTTTAGGAAGTTAAAGAAAACTGGCACAACTGTATCAGGCGTTAAGGTACTTTTGTCACACTTTATCTAACTTGTCATCCGAAACGTTTGTATTCACTGCACTGGAAGAGATAAACACTTTGGATTTAATTTCTGGTAGCCAAGTCCCGTTGCGGCTCTTTTTTTTCGAGCCAGAGCTTTCACGGTATTTGATCCGACTTTTTTTTACCAACTTAAAGCTTTTAGCAAGCTGCTGTTGGAAAAACAGGTCCGGAATTGGAATCTTCTGCTTCCACGACGATTTTAAGGACGAGTTATTCCTCCTCCAAGGAGACTTCACGGTCAGAGTATTCCTTCCATACGCCAGTCCCGGAATCGCGAAATTCATCCGAAATTGTTTCGGATGTTCGTTCTTTTTCGAATTCTGAATCAGGGCAGTTTGCAAAAAATGGCAATTTACTGGATCTCGACGAAAGGCAGCTCATGAAGGAAATGGCACAGCAGTTACGACCATTGCCGCAATCGAGCGATCAGTTCATTGGTAAAATTAAATTTTACTTTATTCATATTCTGTTGGCATTTGATCAAAGTTACCATTAGGAAGTCCTCCTCATTTTTCTGTGCCTCCTAAAATTTTAAAAAAATAGCTTTTTCGAAATGCTTAAAAACGTATGTTTCACGTGGTACCACTTTGTGACTCATCGACTTTTTAGTGATGGGGATACGTCTAAGTTTCGAAATTATCTACCATCTTTGTACCTCACGCTTGATTGTTTATGCGCTAAATTTAGAGTTTCTAGATCTATCACATTTTTCAACATGATTTTTTGATTATCCTTTCATTTTAATAATTTTTTGTGACGAATTTTGCCCGACTCAAGCAGAATTCAGACTCAGTTTGTTTGCAAATATTTACCCACACAGAAGGGAATTTTTTCGCTTGGGCACAAAGGCGAGTTATCATGTTCAGTACATTATAATGAAACTGTTATTAGATTTGGGTCTAATTTTAATTGGTGCCAATGTTTTGTCAGAAATACTGATTAAGTAAATGACCACATAGAAATTAGCCAGTGAATGAAAAGGGCGATAAGTGCTAGTTGTGGAGATGCAAAACTAGTTCAAAGGGCCTGATACAACTGCGTTTAGTGTGTAGGAATTTTCCAATAGCATTTTTAAAACGGACGGCATAGCCCCATGCGCTAGGACGGTAAAGATATTTCTGTTTGTATATATTTTTTGCGCAGAATTTGCTCTTCGAGCAAGCATGGCAGCTCTCTTCGTTCCGTTGTTTCTCCAGTAAAGTCCTTTTTTAAAAACGAAAAAGACTATCAAAATGAAAGTAATTTTCAGCAAAGAAAATTACAAATTGTAATTTAAAAAGACCTCCAGTACCTTTCAGAGGAAAGTTTTTTGAATAAATTCTTTGAATTAATTAAATTTACGAGTTAAAAAAGTGTTATCGAAAAGATTGAAGAATAAACACTAATATCTGTAAATTAAGTTTTAAATGAGCAGTAGTTTCTCGCTGTTAACGCTGTTTGTCCTGAGTGTTGCTGTGCTGCTCAGGTTCAAGTGCTCACTGATCTGTTATTAGGCATGTTTGAAGAAAGAATATTTTTGAGAGTATCTGGTAAAAACGTCCAAAAAAAGTTCAAAAACTTAATGTAAATAAACATCAAGTATTCAGTTTAGCTGGTCAGAGAACGGAGAATTAATATTTTGCCCAAATCCTGAATTTGGTCTTCATGAGGTAATGCCATAACCCGCAACAGAAAACCAGTTAATAGATTTGTACCTTTATTGCTCGTACTAAGTGCTAAATACTCGGTGAAATGCAAATCGAGAAATTGACTATGTGATTTGATAATACCATCTGTAGCAGAAAAACTGATAAATAGATTTGCCTTTTTTGCTTGTGATAACTGCTAAACAAGTCTAAATCTGCATTTCGAGCAAGAGGCAGTTGAGAAGGAACGGAAATTTGTGGAA